GTGCAACACTTCTGCCTTAATGTCTGTGTTTATTCAGTGGTGTGTCTGTATTTTTGTCCTCCCCAGCTACATACATGAGAGGGTCAGAATATTAGGAACACCTCTGAATATAATGTAGTCCAGTACAACACCACATTTAACTGCAACCTCAATAATAAACATAGAATTGAATGTATACATTTGACAATTTCAACAAAAACAAACATTTTGAGCTTTATAAACACAGACGCTGAAGCGCATACACATGTAGAGGTGTACCTAATAAAGTGGCCAGTGAGTGTATTTAAGGAGAAGGGATAACTAAAGAAAACCACCATTCATTCCATGGGTCACACCAGGACTATCAGTAGTGTTGTTTTTGTGATAAAAGGGGGGTGTTGGGGCATAAAACTGATTTAGCTGAGAGTCCTGCATGTCATAGCAGGGGAGACAAGGTAATGCTGATGTTCTGAGGTCACAGTTCAATGACATCTGTTTTTTTCACTGATGCCTGTTTGTCGTGGTTAAAGAAACAGTTACCCATCAGAGCTTTGTGGAGGTGGAGTGATAAAATCACAGAGTATTTTATCCATATCACTTATTGTACCTTAAGATCAGAATACCATTTCCTAGATCCCTGTGCTCTTTGTTAATGCTCATTTTGGAGGATGGATAATTGGAATGGGCATCAGACAGTGAATTTCCACTGCACCGTGCACAGTTCACTCTCAGGTCAGTGTATTTCACAGATACAGTACAAACACAGAGCTTCACCATTAGTTAGAGGAACTAGTCAGGAAGTGTATAGGAACGTTTTACGACACCCTGGATCACTTTAAGTTGTGAAGAAGGAACCTCATTACTGCCAAGCCCCACATGGGGGGGTTTACTCTGAGACACAGTTTAAAGGCAGTAAAAAGGAAAAGGCTTCAAGGTTACAAGATGCTGAAAAGCTTTGGAGGAGACGGCCTGTCCTCCCTTTGCCCTGTATCCCAAGTCACTGGAGACAGTGGAGTCATAAATGGCTGCTATCACTACCAGTAAACGCATATTAAAGGACTCCTGGTTTCCTTTATGTGACCTGTTCCTCACTGCGCAGAGGGGTTGCTGATAGAAGCTGAGGGTGTTAATAAAAGACGATGGATGGTGAGTGTGGATTGAGAAAAAGGATTTTAAGAGTAAATAAAATATCAAAGCACTTGTTAAAATGTAAATTTGTACAATGTGTAGAGTGGAAAAGAATCCCTCCTGGCACACTCTCAACTGGTGTCGAAAGTTGGGACAGTCAGGAAACATCAGCTGCCTTCAACAGATGCAAATCACAAATGTGAAGGAGCGGCTGTAAGGCTTGCAGTTGCATAGATGAATAACCTGGCAAGTTGCACCACCACTTGAAAAATGTGTAGAGATGTCTGGACGTCAGCAGCACAGATAAAGTAGCTACCTTATGGTTGATAGTTAACAAAAACTAAAGAAAAGTAAAAGAAACAAACTGACAAACCAAAAAATTCAATTAGCTAATACATTTTCCAAAAATTAGCCATTTGTGTTTCTATTAAAAACTTCATGTCAATAAAGTCACATGACTGAAAAACAAGTTATCATGTTGCATAAACCCAAGCAGAACCTACAACTGACTGACAGAAGAAAATAAAGCTGCACTACACAACAAATGAACATGCCCATTATGCAGTGATCAGTGTCTGTAATTTCAGTTTGCTAAAATTCATTCAAGGCCGAGGTAGCTGCCTACATACAACATACACTATCATTTTGACAAATTAGCACATCTGTAGTCACTACCATTGTTTGTACTAGATGTTTTTGACCCGAGTCTGTTCCATGATCATGAACAGAAAGCGTCTCTCCTTATCGCACAGTGAACACACCCAGAACTTTCAAATGATATTCAGTGTCTGTGCCAAAGATTAGCTTGCCTTTAGGTGGTACTTAGTGGAGCCCTGAAAACTGATATACATATAATTTAAAAGTAGTTTTCCAGGAAGAAGACTTCTGCTCCTTTTCCACAAGTAATGATTGTAATGACCAAACTGCCTTGTTAACCGCTTCACCAGAGGTTACATACCCTTATGACACTGACCTTAAGTCATTCAAATAGTCATGTAACATGAAGGTAATGCTTGTCTTACTTAATTTCCTGTCAGTGATTACTCTTTTCCCTATAGTATCTAAGAACACACAGAGCTTTAAGAAGGCAGTCACTGTTTTGGAGTTATAACTACTCAAAGGACAAGTATGTTAGTAAGTGATTCTTTTTCCAGACTAATATTTCAACATTCAGAGATCTGATGAGTCAAGTAACCAACCAAACAAACCTCTAGAAAACAAGTGAGTGGTTTTAAGGGTATGAATTATGGCAATCCACTTCCTCAGTGACCTTGTCATACATGTTCTGTTCAAGCTATCCCCCTCACCTCTCTCCAGCCAGCTCATTTCGGAGGCCCCAGGCTGCTGTTTGAACTTTGGCCTCTGAACTGGAAAAGAACAGGCTTACACTAGCAAACTCAGCTGATGGGAAACCCAACACCGACATCCTTCGATACAGATTTCAAGGCTTGCATTCACGTCCCCTCCATAACCTTCTCCCTCTCCTTTAGTGCTCACTAATACACCAACCCCCCCCAAACATACTGTAGCAGTTGTTAAGACTCTCCGAGTCAGATAGGAGTCAGTGCAAGCTCTATATATGTTTTGAATGACAAGAAATACAAATGGGATAGACGTCATCTGCAGTATAAGTCATATTTATTACCACAATGCAGCATGTTTACCAGTTTGTAACTAAATAAACAAATAGTTTTTGGTAGAAAACATTTTTTTTACCTTCCTCTCTTTGTTTGAAATTCAGGTGATGTGTGTTGTGTCTCCTCTAAAAGAGGATCAGGCAGAAATAATACCTTAAAGCATTTTTTCTCTAGGGCTCTTTGCAAAGCTCTTCCAAGTACCTGTGTTAAGCCTTGTTTATTCTACACCAGTTGTTCCAGGTCACTTCCTGAAGAAGCTACATAAACAAAGAGAAAGTAAGGGCATCACAATGTCAAGTATGTCCACATCCTGAAACAACAACATCAGAAAGTGTTGATGACTAGAGAATCCTGCCTATAACAGGCATGTGGACTCAGATGGGTGCCGGTTTTCTTATTGAAAATTTTGCTGTTTAGAATTGAGCTGAATGCTTTTTAGATTGTGATACAAAAAAAAAAATCCATTAGTAAAATGTTACATTTATGGCCCAGTCACTTCAGTAAACTGCCTTAGGTTACATGGATGATGTGAAACTAGTGCGGAGTCGCACTTACAGCTGTGAGACAGCGGTTTCTAAATGGAACATGATGGTGAGGTCAGACAACACAGTATCATGGTTGGCTTCACATTT